CGCTTAGCTCCCCTGAGAGGACGTTTTTCCAGGCTCTTGCTCTCTCACCCAAGACTGGGAGAGGGGACCACGGCGTGGTGCACTTGTAAATACTGGACCCCAAAAACTTTTTTGCAGGAAATGATTTATTTAGGCAGAGAAAGAGAAAAAGGAGAAAGAAAAAGGCTTCCGTGAGGAGTGTGGAAGGGGACCCAAGGATGGAATCCAAAGGGGTGTGGAAGAAGGGGACTTTTAACCTGGGAGGAATTTCCTCCCTCTCCAAGTCCCCTGGCTAATGAAAGGAATTCCTGTAAACTTCCCCTGGAGTGATTGACTTTTGATTTTTTCCTGCGCCTGTGAAAATTAAAACAGAAACCGTTAAATCACCCAGATGGAGAGGCATGGGAGGGGGCATGGCACTGAATTTCTTGCTCTTAAAACTACGCCCCCTTGTGGACCTGGAAAGAGAACACATTTCCTCAATATGGTAAATATGTGGCCACCAAGCTCATCCCTACAGCCGGTGTTGTGCTATAACAAATAATATATCAACTGTGCAAGAATCCTCAGACCTACCTACAGAAGTGCATATGAGTGACATCCACCCAGGAGCAATCTCTCCTGCTCAAGTCAACTCACCTTGCTAGCTCTTCCTGAAACAGAATGACTCACTGCTTTTCTAGATCCAGAGTTTGAGAGTTCTCGCTTTGTTCAAAGGTTTCAGGGTTCTAACAGCTAAATTCCAAAGTTACCTTTTTTTTTTAAAAGAATATTTATGGATATGGGTTCTTATGTAAAAGGAGTTCTGGTGGCCTGCTGCCTGGATATCCCAGGTCTCTCTGGATGTGCTCAGCCTGCATTGACTATCAGCATAATCCTGGTCACATAAAGTTTAATAACTGGCATATTGTTAAAAAAGAGGAAGAGATCTATATGGCTAAGTTGATATGGGAAAATATTGTCAGGGCAGAAAATCCCCTTCTTTTATTGTTTCTTCCCCCATAAGCTTGAAAGAAATTCAGCTGTTTGGAGCAGACTAAACTCTGTCTTGAAAATTAGGAAATAATTTTTATTTAATTAATTCAATGAACATTTGCTGTTCTGTGCATCAGACACTGTGTGAAGTCCTGTGCCAATAGAGATAATGTTTCTTGATATGTAATGGACCTCTCTGTATGCAGGATTGGCTACATAATTTGAGGAGCCGAGTATGAAATGAAAATGGAAGTTTCTTCCTCCAAAAATTATGAAGGCTTTTCAAGTTGGTGACAGAGCATTACACTAAGGGCAGGGCCCTTCTGAATGTGAGGCCAGGTGTGTTGTGCAGCTTGCATGTGCACGAAACCATCCCTGGCTGTATGAGCATGGGAGCATGGGTGTACCTTAACTATATTCCTCACCGTTCTATGAAAAAAATAGGGGACACTTTATTTCTTTCCTATGGAGTAGATACTTGAGATAAATGAGGTGGTCCCAACGATTCTGCTCCTTCTTCAGACCGTTTGCACCACAGCAAACAACGACAACAACAAACCTCACAGTTTGTAACTCTTTTAAAGAGTAAAACCCACTGCTTTTCATTATGATCTATCATAATCTAGTTAAATATGGAATAATCTGTAGTCAGTTAATTACAGATATTTCCTACAGCAGTTTTCATGTTAAATCTCCCCTTTTCTTGTGTTTTCTTGTTACTGTGTAAAGCTTTCAGATGGTATGTTTATAATCGCCTCTGTAATAGATTTTACATATAGTTAATTTTGGTTTAATTTGTATCCTGGATTAGAGTAGTCTACAAAATAGCAGCTCAGCACATTTTAGCTCAGAAAGACAATTGACCAGTTATGTTTCAAAGGGATACAGTGATTTATAATGCCTGAATTTGAGAATTTCAAGTCTTTATTATGCAAAACCAGAGAGAAGTGGTTTATCCTGAGGGGAAAATGGCAGATTTCTACAAGCTGTATAATGTACCTTAAAATAATTTAAGTAATAAGTTTCATCTCAGGATTTTCATTAACTCAAGCAACATGTATTATAAAAACACATCAAGCTGATGTATTATAAAAATTCTGAATTTTTTAAAGAAAGAAGGGCTTATATAAAATATTTAGATGAAAAAGTTTCTAAAGCAAGAATAAATTATCTTGGGAATTACTCATAAAATTACAATAAAATTATCCTTTGTAGCATCAATATTTGGCCTGAAATTTAATATATAATCATATGGTGAAGGTCATTTTCTTTTTCAGGACTGAAAACTTCTGATCTGTCTTCCCTTATGTATTCTTTTGCCTGCTGTGATGCTCCTGTGGACATAGGCTCTGCTCTCTGTAGGGCTGTCTCACTCTCCCGTTTGCAGATGCCATCGTTTCAGGGGCAAGGAAAGGCTCCATGTCAGATGCAGGCAGAAACTGAAGCTCTGGGTATTCCAGCCTGCCATCCACAGGCTTGTTTCACCCTGCTTGGTTCCTGAAGCAGTGGGAACTTGACAGGCAATACACTGAAAGTCCCTTTCCTACCAGTAAGAATAATCTGTAAATAGTCTGTTAATTTGAGCTCATTGCCTGGTACCTAAGACAAATTCAGCTCTGGTTAAGCAGAGTTCTGCATCTTCTGTTATCCTTGCAATCCCATAGGAAGTCTGGCCAGTCTGCTGTATAGATCTGCTTGATAGGCTCCTGCCTTCTGGTTCCTATTCTAGTTTTTTCCTGGGACTGGATCCTGTTCCATAGTGTTGCCTGGTACTGAACCTTATTTTCAAGCTTCTGTCACGCTCTTCTCTCTTCTTCAACCATTTATTAGAAGAGACTTGAATGTCTAATAAGTCCAATCTGACTCTGCCTGCCAGTTGACTGGACAACTCTTCCACTGACTGGACATTCTTTTGTGCTCTTTTCCCTGTTCCTTGGACTGAGATGTTGGCAATGTTGCAGCATGCTCAGACACATTTAAGTTTGCAACGCTCCAGTGAGACTGCTGATCTCTTCCCATAGTGACCTCACCTTATTGTTAGATTTCTCTCAGCTCCTGCTGTATGCTGGTCTTAAAGGCTCAAAATTGTTACCAGGGCTTGGGCAACTATAACAGCAACCAGGAAATTGATTGAGATCAGTCATTAGTTGCAGAGGCTTATCAACGTGTTTTGGATGTGATCTGAGTTGAGTGGTTGCAACTGAATTGATCTCCTCTATTGACAAAATATGAAAAACATTCCATCTATTTGTGGAACAATTCTTGTGACATATCAAAGAATAGAAAGTATCATTATATGAGCAGCTATCAGCCTACCTTCACCCCTCCTATGGGGTAAAAATCAAAGTGTGGCTGCTTTTCTTTTAGTAGCAAAGACTGATGATCCATGATCCTCTCCGATTTAGTGGCTCCAAGAGACTAAGAAGTTCTTAGAACTGACATGGGCTTCTGTTTTTTCCTTAGGTGGCTCCCTAAGAATTGGCTCCAGAGCTTGCTCCAGAACAATCAGGAGGAACTGAATTTTCAGCTCTCATTAGGTAATCCCCTGACTACTAAGGACCTGCTACTCTCCTTTATCCCTTTCTTCTTCATCCTGAGACTGCTCAGAAACAGAGATTTTCCCTGGACAAAGTTGCCGAGTAGTAAATGTAACAAAGAAGGGTGCTTTCAGCAACCACCATCTCCCATCTGGGCCCTAGCGTTTTTGTTCCCTGTACCCCCCAGGTCTCTTGTTTCATGTTAAGATCCATTTTCAGATCCCATTTGGGAAAGAGTAAAACACTTTCATTATAGAGTATAAATAAATAATTGCTAGCTGTTATCTTATTTTTATTATATATGTACATATGTATAAATGTGTATATCAAATATGATATTATCTATATGTATTATACTTATGAACAAAACAGGACATGAATTTTTTAAATGCCAGGTGCTTAAGTAAAACAATCATTCAAATGAGGTTAACAAATCAAAACCTAAATAGTGAGGGTGAGGAAATTTGAAGATGGGGGAGAAAATTTGACTCAAAACTTAGCTTAAGAATACTAAATAAAATTGAGAATTAATGTTCTCTCTGAGCTTTCTGATACTGAGGCCAAATATGACAATATGATCGGGTTCATAGATTTTATTTTGTCCTTGATTAAAGGAAACATACATTTAAAAGGAGAGATAAAATGATAAAATATCTATAATCTCTACACTCTGAGAAAAATTTAACTCACAAATCCTCTTATGTAAGGGTTATGAATATGTTATATATTACACATTAGTGTATGTTTATGAAATATATACATGGACTATACATAGTGCCTATGCATGACTATATGTATAGAGAGAGTGCATATATATGACTGTAGTTTTTAAAATTTTATTAGGGAATAATTGTTGAGCCCAAAAGGAGTGTAAAAGGATATTTGGGTGGTGTGCACTGTTCCTTAACTCCTCAGATCACACCACCAACACCACCCTGGGAGCCATGCTTTTCTCTGCAGTACGCAGAATGCTCTTTACCAGGTAGGAAGCACGTTCCCTCGATGCCCTTCTCTAGTGTAGTTTGTCAGGATTTCAGGACATGTCTAGTCCCAAAGCTGTACAGATAATTCAGTAACTCCTCAGGCTATGAGATTACCCTCTGGTGAAGTCATCCTGGCTTGAAGGTTGGGTTGGCACAGATCATTGTTAGTAGTTATTCGTCATTGGTCTTTTAGTGTATTACCTTTTTAGTGTAGATTTTGTACTTCAGGTCAACGCTGGCAGCCACATTGGCTGCTGTAATGAAATTGTGTGGATATATTTTCTACTCCAGGTTACTGACATAACTGCATAGGCTTTCTTTGGGTTAAGAGTGACAAGTTAATCTTAGCAACGTTAAAATTATTTTCTGCTTGCTATTAGAAAGATTATATATTAGAAGATATAAATGCCTCATTGGGAATGTTTTTGTTTATTCTTATTTTTCTTCCAATAAGTAAAATGCCATTAGTGAGACTGATTTTCTGATAGTAAACATTTTAATCTGTGCATGCATATATTCTCTCCAGAAAAAGAAAAACATCCATTCATGAGAGTCCAGGGATACATGAAAATAAAGCAAATGGGGAAAGACCCATTCACATTCCTCCAAAAGGTTATAGAATATTAATACTGAAAGGAGTATCAGCTAATATGTAGAGATAAAAATCAGTAGTGTTCCACCTATATTTCTTTCATTTAAAAGTAATGTTTATGAAAAATTTTATAAAGGTTATCAGCCATGAAGTAATGATTCAAAGTACTTAGACTTCTAGAAGTATTTAACTTGGGGTAAAAATGGCTTAGCAAGGGGTATTCCCTTGGTTCTTGAGAATACCGCTGTGCCCATAGAATGTGAACACACAGCTCTGAAAAGCTGATCACACCTGACATGTTGGTGGTTGTTTCTCTTAGAAATTCTTTCTGATATCTATGTCCTCTTTCCAGATCTGCTGCTCCCTGGAATCATGTTCCTGGCTCCTGGTAGTCCCCAACTTTACCTGTCTGTTCCAGGAACTTGCTTTATGGCAACTTGCTCTGGTGATTAGTTTGGACAACCAACCTCAGACAATATTCAACATCCTGTAATCATCATAGCGGTAAGTAAGTACTTTTTTCTTTCCTCATAGACTGCTTTATTTTTAAACCTTTTCTTCAGATGGGGTCTTTCTTGGATCAACAGAGGACGCTTGGAAGCATTCCTCCCACACACGGTGTTGGGTCATTCTTATCTTCATATCTTGTCTCAAATGTAGGGGAAATCTATAGAGGTCTAACCCTACCAGTGCTTCTTTTCATGTTTGATGCTTCCTTAAGAGGAGAATTAAGTGGAAAACAGGAATATCTATCACATAGTTAGAGACAAACTCTAAAGGGAAAATATTTCGGAGAGATATTAAATATGGGGTTAAATTCATCCTAGGTGTAAGAGACTGATACCTGATCTTTTCCCTAATCATACGGGTGGTGATGAGTGGAGGCAGAGACAGATAAGAAAGGAAATGAATGTCTTCGGAGGAAATCTGGGAGCAGCGTGGAGAAATAATTTGGGATGGGTTGGGGAAGTGGCAAACCTGGAGACTGGGAAACTTCATAAATTTTGCCTATCTCAAAATGATCCCTGAAATCAGCTCTGCATAAAATAGATATCAGAATAGGTTTTGAATTGCCCTTCTCATTACGTGCCTCTCTTGGCCAAAATATTAATAATTGGAAGTTGATGGGACATGAAAATTTCGGTGGAAATCCCTAAGACAAAAGTGTGTAAATGCCAATAATTACTCTACAATGTGTTCCAGGTACCCAGTGATTCTTATTTCTCTTCTCCCTCTCAGTGCTGACCTGCTTTTCCCCTAGTTTTTCTCACGTCATTAAATGGCACTTCTATTTATTCCAAGACTCAGGCTGAAAACTTTGTAGTCATTGTGATTCTTCTATTTCCTTCCAATTATAGGGTCAGCATAAAATGCAGATTTGTTTCCATAGCTGACAGGCCCTTCAGGATCTGGCTCCTGGTCAAGCCCTGACTTTGTCTCCTTCCATGCCCCCCTTGCTCACCACACTCCAAAGCCATGGACTTTCTGCTGTTCTTGGATCACACGTATGTGCTACACCTCAAGGCCTTTGCACATGCACTTCTCTGTCTGCGTTACTCTTTTCCTGGATATCTCTCTGGTTTACTTCAAGCAGGTCTCTGCCCACATAGCACATCACAGAGGCCTTCGTGGCTACTGTATCTTAATTAGTACTTCCCATTATGCTCTGTTTATTTTGCTTTTTTTTCATTATAGCATTTTTTTATTACCTGACATGGCATAATATTACATGACATGATGTTATGTATTTACAAAGGTATTGATGTATTGATCAATTGTGGCTCTCACACTAAAACATGTTATATTAATTTTTCATATTTGTTATTTGTTTCTCTTTTGTAATCTCAAGATTTGTTGAATGAATAAGTAAATAAACAAACAAGAGAGTGATATTCTTGGAAATTAGCCATAATCTAGAACTATGTACATTAAAATGACTTTATGGTTCAGGCAAGGGTAAACAGCAGGTGACTGCATAATTTTCTGGGTGCTAGGTGTGGAAGCCACTTACTGTTTAATGCTAGGTGCTGCCTGCTTTTCTTGGTCACCAAGGAAAGGTGTTACCATCTGGTGTGTCAGAGGTAAGAAACTGAATCCTGGTGCCTCCCTGGGGAAACCAGTCCCCATGTAGAAATAGATGACAATAAATCCAAGGAAGGTCTTTTGCAACTTCTTGAACCAGTTTTTTTATGAATTAGATTTCCAGGCAAATGTATGTATAAGGAAACTCATATCACAAACACTTAAAAATAACAAAAGTAAACCAAGCAGTGACAGTGACTACACATTTCTGAGGAACTTGGGGGAGGAAAGAGATAAGCTTCAAGCCAGACTTTCATGGTGACTAAGTAAGTATCCTATAACTTGATCTGACAACCCTCCTGAACTGTGGGGGTGGCCTAGGGGGACATGCTCCCAGTCTGGGCTACTTGGTACAATGGTATCAATACATTAACAATAGACAATATGGACAAATTATGTACTTGTATAAGGTAAAACTATGTTACCCTTATAAATAGAGAAGTTTCTCTTCTTTCTCAAGTAAAAGACAGACTTGAAATAGACCACTAAGTTTGATAAAATGAATCAACAAGTGTATGGTATGTAGCATTTGTGAGGCCATGACTGGTCAGACCCTTATTATAAAAGCATGGAAAATGTGAATTTCAAACTGGAGATGAATTTTGGAGACATGGAAGGGCTCAGCCACAACAGAGATGAAATAATAAAAAAATATAATCCAAGAGGAAGAAAATGGAAATTCGAGCCAGTAACTGTTTTCTTCTGTATAAAGGGGTCTTTTGCAGAAAACAAGACACTGCTGTTTTTTACTGCCTTGTTTTTGAAGTCCCCATGTCCATCTAGTTCTGTGAAACTCATACCCAACCTGCAGAGCAGTTCCTTGGCTGTGTGATGGTGGAACTTTGCTCCTTGGAATGTCCTTCATCTCCTTTTGTTATCTGTTATTTCTATTTCAAGGCGGGCACCTCCCCAACCCTTCTACCAAAACAAATGCTCTGTGTTCTTTTCTTCCACGGTGTCGTCACTTGTTTACACCATCACTGTGCCACATTGGCCCACAGTAGTGCTTTCAAGACCCGCTCTCCTGATAGCCTGTGACTTTTCATCAAGGTAGTATTGCCTTATTCATTCTGTCTTACTTTGGCACAGAAGAGAATTTTTTTTTTAGGAGATTTCACCTTCTCTACCACTATTTTCATGCTTCAGTTTTTTAGAAATTATTTGTATACTTATTTTTAAATTTTAGGTTCAAGGGATTCATGTGCAGGTTTGTTACATGGGGTGTATTGTATAATGCGGATGTTTGGGCTTCTACTGATCCCATCACCCAAGTAGTGAATATAGTACCTGATAGGTAGTTTTTCAACCCTTGCTGCCTTTCTCCATCCTCTTTTTGTAGTCTCCAGTGTCTATCATTTCCATTTTTGTGTCTATGGGTACTCAACATTTAGCTCCCACTTACAAATGAGAACATGTGGTATTTGGTTTTCTGTTCCTGCATGAATTCACTTAGAATGATGGCCTTCAGCTGCATCCATGTTGCTGCAAAGGACATAATTTTGTTCTTTTTATGGCTGTGTAGTAGTCCCTGGTGTGTATGTACCACATTTTTGTTCCAATCCATTATTGATGGGCACCTGGGTTGATTCCATGTCATTGCTATTATGAGCAGTGCTGTGATAAATATATCAGTGCTTGTGTCTTTTTGGTAGAATGTTTTATTCTCCTTTAGGTATATGCCCAATAATGGGATTGCTGAGTTGAAAGGTAGTTCTATTTTAAGTTCTTTGAGAAATCTCCAAACTGCTTTCCATAGGTCACTCTCCCAATTTTAAAGTAAACCATGTCTCCACCAATATTTTGTTTGTGTTTCTCCTGCTGCATTTGTCTTAGTCTGTGCTGCCTTAGAATTACCTGAATTTTTGTGGGACCCTCTTAAGGGCAGGAGCCAAGTTTGATCTTGTATTCTCAAACATACCTAGCACAGTATGTGTTCCTTAGTGAATGCTCAGAAACAATTTCTACATTGTACTGAAGGAGCTATTGATGTAGTTCAAAACTTTTTTTTTTTTTTACTTAGATGAGAGATTCCCTGACTGTGATGGTTATTAATAATTGGTTTAGATATCAGAATTTGATGTCTAATTATTTCTTGAAGATTATGTAATTAAAAATAGAATAAGGTGACATCTTTGAAAGGGGAAGAATGAAAGTCATGACGTTACAACTTAGCTTATTTTACATCCAGAATTTAGTAAATTTCCTCTACTTTCATATCTAATTTTCAAAATGATATTTGTACTTTACCTTAATCAATAATTTCAAGCATACTAATCTAAACATGCATGTGAAGTTCTATAGAGAATGGAAATTCAGAAATACCAAAGGCTATTACAACCATAATAAGCTTGGCCATAAGATACCATAGTACATTCAAAATCAAAATACTGTAAGACCCAAAAGACTGAATTGCTAATAGTAGAATTTCAGGCACAGAGGAGGAAAAGGGTGGATTTCATGATAAGAGTTGACCAGCCTTTGAAATCATACAACAAAGGATAAGCATCTTCTCATATGCTGGTCTGGAAGGAAGACAGCCAATTACTCCATCCTTTCCTTATATGACTGAAAGTAACTTTTTCAGAAAAAGGGACTCATGATTAAACTATAAAAATGCAGAGTGATCAATGGAGTTTTTTCTGCATGCTTGCTTGCTTCATTGTTTTACTCACAGTAGGTCACCCAGCCGACCTTATTACATGGTTGTGTGATGGACTTTGCTCCTCTATATAAACAAATTTAATATTTTACTCTTTCCTTCATCTAACTGTTAGATATAATTTTGTAGCAAGGCAACTTTTTCTCACTGGAAGAATATGAAATACAGGTTCTATGTGTTTGGGGCCAGTGGAGAATACCCTCCTATTCCTAATAAGATAAATAGTTCATTGAAGTTAAAGAAAAGTCGAAGAAAATCTCCCTTTGGGTATTCGTTTTGAAAATCTTACTGAAACAATGTGGTTACAATTTTTCACTTTATTTTGTAGAGCACATAAACATATCCCCCTCTTTTCCTCCAAGCCCTACTTGTCACGTACTCTTTAATATACTCCATGCATTGTTAGTGGTATCTAATAGGCAATATCTAATATTTCTGTTAGTGATATCTAAGGCAGTATCTAGTATTTCTGCAGGGGAGAAACAAACTTGACTTTTTTTGTTAGTCCTTTCAAGTGGAAGCCTAAGAAATTTTGTTATTTGGGAATTTAATCAACTCTAAAGCAGATATTCCTTGAGGCCTGTTTTATTTTAAGGCTAGTATTTTTGTTTTTTGCAGATAGTGTGTTCTAAATTAGTTAGCTGGCAGAGAAGATATTATAAAAATGGACTCATTTTGGAGTTGCAGTGTGAACTCCTCATTCTAAAGATTGCCCTGTTTATTAATCAATCCAAGTTCCATATTTTTACTATGAAAAGGATTG